AGCGATGGCCTCCAACCTAAGAGCGATGGCCTCCAACCTAAGAGCGATGGCCTCCAACCTAAGAGCAGTGCCTTTTCTTTTCCAGGATGACTCACCTACTTCAGCCTACTCCTACACACAAGCTTGTCAGCTCAGACGACCAGCCGGTCAGGAGGAGTCCACGACGTCGTCTGAGACACAACGAGACTTTCGGTCAGGGTGCCCTGAAGCATCCCGCCCTTGGTGAGTGCTACCCGTAGGTGTCTTCACACAGGTCGCACCCCGGGCAGAATCAAGAACACGCATGAAAGGGCGGCAACTGCTACTTATAGCGATGCACAGCTTCTTGCTACTAATAGCGATGCACTTGTTACCACAAAGATACCACAAGTCGAGATGGTTCTCTTAAATCCTGATGAAGCTTGATGTACGTCATGGACGTCCTCTATCAAGGATTCGAGGCGTTCTTTCTTTCGATCCCGCTTGGGAACATGTCAAGATACACATGGTCTCCCAAGCGTGTTGTAGGAAGAGCTCCCTGCACACGAGCTCAACGGATCTTCCAACGGACCAGGTAGGTGATGCGCACCGGTCGTAGCAACCAGACTGTTGGATGGTCCTATACCCTTTTTTGGTGGAACAACGGTTGATCTTCGTTCTGCGGTCGGCTCAGATGACTCAGTTGAATGCATTGCATCGCATGAGGGGAAGATGAAGAACATGTTTTTGATATCTTTTGATCAGTTTGACTGGAGGAGTCTAGAAATGTGTGTGCCATTGTGTATGTTGTTTTTCTTTTTTCAGGTCTTTCGGGGTCTATTTTGCCTACCTGCTTGGGAGCGACTCTGCTTCAACAAACCAGTGTAGATTGCCACGACAGCCATTTCTTTTGTGTGGATCTCCGCTTTTTTGGGGGTATGGAGGGTTTGGGGATCACCCTGTGTGAAGAGGCTTTGTCAAAAGGTGTCCATAGTGGTGTCCATGTATTTATGGGTTCATCAAATCCAGGCCCTTTCATCCAATATCCTTCCTCTAGTCCTTCGTTTGGTCAACACATGCATCCCCTACAACAGAGTCAGTCCCCAAAACAAAGCTCCAAAGTCGAAGATCTCAGAACATCTCTCTTCGAACTGCCGATTTTGGGGTCCATCTTTTTCGAACTGTTGGAAGAGAACAGACACATGTCACATGGCGCACATGGACGCCGAGCCGGCCCGAAGCCCGGGGCCGCACCGCGCCGCCTCCCGAGCCTCGAAGGTCTCAGCCCTTCTTCGAAGACCCATGGCATGGCTACCACGAGTTGATCGAAGAGGATTGGCAGGCCACGAGTTCTCGACGAACGGAACAACGCTACCAGCGGGGTGGGCTCATATATAGCCTTACGACCGGAGCAAAGGACGCTCTTAGGTTGGAGGCCATCGCCAGGTTTGAGGCGCTTCCTTTTGGGTTCCTTTTGCGCTTGGCCGTCGTGGACTGCGAACTCGTGTGTTTTTCTTGCGTGGATGGGAGTGGATCGGTGTTTGTTACTACTAGCTTCTTGCAGTAGCGATGCCAGGAGCCCCGTTCGTAGCGTCCTTGCTCCCAGTAGGGATGCCCTTTGCTCCTTAGTAGCTTCTTATTTCTACTAGCTTCTTGCTACTAGTAGTAATGCCCTCGTTACTAGTAGCGATGCCCCTGCTACTAGTAGCTTCTAGCTCCTGGTTGGGATGGGTTTCTGCATGTTGGCATATGTTGACCAATCCAATGCAACTGGTGTTTAAATCATTGAGGATCAGATCAAGCACATGGAAAGCCAGTTCACTCGGACATGTCTTTGTGGGGAATTGAATATTTGTTTGACTGAGTAAACATCTACTTCTATACTGTAATTGTGTTATACATACGCGTGAACATTTCCCTACAAAATGCCCCAGAGATTGTAGCTATAGAATGACCATCCCTGAAATCGTGGTGGGATGGCCCCTGGACCCCCAAAGACTTGGGGACCATGAGTTCTCTGAAGACTCGGAACACAGGCGGGGTTCTTACCGACCTCCCAGGCGGGGGGTTTCCCCCCTCCGCCTGCGCCTGCGCTGGATGTTTTTCGTGTGGATCCAAACACCGTGGGCCACAGAAGAACCCCACCAAAGGCCACCTCGTCACCGGGTTCCGCTGACTTCGGTGTCCTGGCGCCAGACTACCCTACACGAAGGATCTCCAGCCGGTTGGATGGTACAGGTATAGAAGCATCGTTTGCTTGGGGCCGCATGCTTTCTTCGGTTTTCTGCACGCGCACGGAGGGTCTTGCCGCAATGAGAGATTGCGTGATCAATTCCATGTTTGATGAGCACGGTCTGGCCACAAAGATGATGCAAGGACACATCTGAACCGCATCCATATGAATATGAGTATAACAATACCCGTTCATATTCCATAGGAGGGGTCGTGCACCCAACCTTTCTCGTTCGCCAATCTTTGTCCTCGACAGCCTGCGTTGTTCTGCGCTGCGGTGGCGCATGGTGCGCCAGGCATGGACGGAAGACTTCCGACGCCGGCAGCAAGCTTATTCAGGCCAGTGATAAATCGAGACACGCAAACCAAGGAGGCAGCCTGGTCGCTCAGGAAGACTCCGCAGACTCCACGGGTCAAGAAGTTTAACGAGGTTGCATCGTGTTTTCACCGGTTGGGGCATGACAATGATGGATACCCTGTATTTTGGAATGTCTAAAGCCAAAATCTTAAAACTGGTGAGATCAACTTTTGCCCATCATGGCCAGGGTTGAGTTCATGTGCAACCAATGTTGAGCCCCATGTTGGCCTCAAACCGGCCCGCCAACTCTTAACTACGCAGCGTAGCTCGCTACGCAGGGGTCGCTACTCCATCCTGAACCCCCAGTCAGCACAACAAGTTGATCTTCTTTCTTCTGGGGGAGGTCTCAAGCTGTGACCCAGGATCTGACGGTTCACTCCAACATGAACTCGGAACGAACGTGCAGCGACTCCTCCCATCCGTCGAGTCTCGCCGTCACGTGGGAGACACAGCGACGGGATCGCAGTCGCACAGCGCCGGGGTGCGGGGTCGCAGGCGCGTGCCTAAGCGGCTTAACCTGGTTGCAAAGCCCACCTGAGCCATACAAACAGGACCTGAGCTTGTAATGAGTGAGGGGAGACGTCATAAGAGGTGCTCTAGGCGTAAGGAAAACACGGGTTTCCAGTGGCTGGTCTCTTTTTCGATGCATCCAGCACGGAGCAGGGATCTGAGCTCCAGCTCCAGCTCGGCACCCGTCAGGGAGACTTGTGGCGGTTCACGCAGCTTCGATGTTGACTGTCTTCCGGACAGCAATTCTGTCAGGGTTTTCAGCAGCACTCAATGAGGTGTTTTCAGCACTCAGGGGTTCTTCCACGAGTGATCATCCCTTTGCGAACCATGTTCTTCACTTAAAGACAGTTGTTTCTCAGATCCCAGTAGATCCCAGCCACTATATAAGGAACCAGGGATTCTAGGTCTATGGTTTTAGTCTTTGGAACCACTGGGACTTCCAGCTATAGTGGGTTGCCTGGATGCCCTGGGAGATGGCTTCAGAGTAGATGGCACAAGGACTCCGCAAGTTGGTTGCACCATGGTGGACTCCCATCTGAAATCAGGACATCTTGAGGTCACCATCTGAAACGACTGTAATATGACTGACTGATGCTTAGTAAAGAAACGAAGGGAATGGATCCTGTGGTATCTATAGTGAGAGGTCATTCTCTCATTCCCTACTAAGCACCAGTGAGATGACCTTTCCCTCTTAGAGGAGAGCCTTCAAGCTCCCTCCAGCCAGGCGCTTGCCCCCCTCGCGATGGACCGAGGCAGGGGGGTTTCGTCCGGGATGGTGTTCGGGGACCTAGCGATGGCCTCCACCCTACTGTACTAGCGATGGCCTGTAACCGCAACCTAAAACATGTCCCACTCATGTCTTTGTTGGTATTTCTTAAGCCTTTTCCTTTCCCAGACACTCCATGGGACTGCCATAGGACTGCCGCCCCATTGACCCCCCTGGCACCACCCCTGGCCTGATCGGTAAATATACCAGTCCCAGACAGGTCGTGTCTGGGTTTGGTCGACCTTGGAACCGATCACGTGGTTCCTCACTGCTTCTCCCTCCCTTCACTGCGTCACTGCGGCAGCTTTCTGGGCGCTCCTCGGAGGGCTGAGCTTCCTCTCCGGTGTGGTTCGGTTTCGTTCCGTTCGTCCTGGAGGGCGGCTGCCGTAAGGAGATGACACTGGAAGACAGAAAGGAATAGATGTCCCTGGATGGTTCGGAGGTCATGAAACGCATGAAAGATGAACCTGAGCTTGTGAAACTGTGAAACTGATAGCACTGCAGCCACATCCAGCCGCTTGCTCTCACTTGGAAACAGCTGATCCATTCGGCTCTTGCTGATTTGCCCATACCCGCAGCTTCCGACACGGAGACCGAATGGAATGATTTCCACGCGGCTCTGGAAAACAGACTTTGGCATTTGCTGCAACAATACAATAATAAACTGCCTCCTAGGTGGCGCCGCAAAGGCTCCTTCTTGCAGACTGCGAGCGCAAAAGAGCTAAAAAATAAGAATTTGACGACCAGCTTCAAAACACGTAGACTGCGAAATCTAGTTGGCAGATTGATCGAAATCCAAAGGCAACATGCTTGTGGCATCCAATGCGGATTTCGTCCGGTATAGATAGGGTATGCTTTTAAGTATGTAACCGCCGTTGGCGTGCGCCGCCGGCCTCCATTGCTGAATGCTCCCGCATGTGTGCAGAGAAGCATCGTGTCGTGAGCAAAAAATATGAGAAGGGAAGCAAGACTGAAGGCAAGGGAAGACACAAAGCAAAGAAACGGCAAGGGCTGCATTCTAAGAGTTCGGAAAGTCTAGATATAGGTGTTGAGGAAAGAGGTCGGTGGCAAGAGGGTCTGTCGAGGTCTGTATGATGGACAGTGCGCAGGCAGAAGGGGTGAGGTGGGAGAGCTGCAAGAAAAAACGCAAGGTCTTGTCTATAGCACGCGGTCATTGGTAAAGACCGTGGCTTGATGTGAACTGTGGTTGGTGTAAAGTGAGGTGTGTTGCAAACTATGGTTGGTGCAAGCCGCGGTTGGGTGTAAACTGTAGACGGTGGTTGGTGTAAACAGTGGTGTGGTGTAAACGGTGGCTGGTGTAAACCTGGGCTTGGTGTAAAGGGTGGTTAAACGGTGGTTGGTGTCAACGGTGGCTTGGTGTAAACGATGGTTGGTGTGAACCGTGGTTGGGTGTACATGGTGGTTGGTGCAAACCGTGGGCAAAATTCAAGCCATGGCGAAACGCTCCGATGCGCAGGCAAAAAACAGAAGACGACGACGACAACGTGCAAAGCGGGGGCATGGTGGGGGTCAAGTTATTCGAACCAAAAATCCGCGCAAAGGAGCCATCTAAACGATGAGCAATTTTTGTATTAGACAAGACAAGTACAAGTACAAGCACATCCACAAGACGCACCGGCAGGCTGGCGGATTCACAGCGCTTTGCGCTTGAAGCCGCCCGCACTGAGTGTTTGCGTCTGTCTGTCTCGGTCTCGGTCTGTCTGTCTCGGTCGGTCTGTCTCCGTCTGTCTGTCTCAGTCTGTCGGTGTCTCGGTCGGGCAGGACACGGACGAACACACCCACGATGTCAATTGCAATCTCCCCGGGGTGCGCATACGTCTGCGATGTCGACAACACGCAACATCCCCCGGCCGGCATATCCGGCATCGCGATTGTTTAGTCCGAAACCATATCCAGCTTTATCAATCTTAACCCTGCACGGCACCTTCGGTGCGGGCGGATTTGTATATTTTTCAGCTTTTTGCTCAGAATTTGTCTTTTCTTTGTTGCTTTTGCTGCATGCCTGCTTTTATCGCTTTTGTTGCTTGAGCCGCATGCCTGCGCGTGCTGTTTATTGCTTTTGCTGTTGCTTTTTGCTGCTTTGCCTTTCTGCTTTTGCTCCTTTTGGTGCTTACTCTGGGTCTTTGCTGTTGCTCGTTTTCGCTTTTCTTCCCCACCTGCCAGGTGATGGTTGTTAGATTTTATCAGAGCTCTTCTCCTCCTTCCTCCTTCCGGCTCCTCCTCGCCACCTCAGTGGGCACTACCGGACCTCAAAACACAACACAACATAACCACTGTCACAAGCACACAAAACACAGCACACTGCACACAACCACAATACACAAAACACAAACTGACAAACCACAAACACAATCACACACAATCACCAACACACAGCCACAAACACACAAACCACCAACACAATTACAAACACGTAGCCACTAAGACAACCACAAACACAAGCACGCAAGCCACAATCGCAAACACAAACCCACAAACACAACACAAAACCACAAACACACAATGACAAGCCACAAACACACAATCACAAACACGCAGCCACAATCGCATTGCTGGCGCAATCAGTGTCCACGATTTTTCGGTACACCGTTTACACCGTCTACACCGTTTACACCGTTTACACCGTCTACACCGTTTACACCGTCTACACCGTTTACACCGTTTACGCCGTCTACACCATTTACACCGTCTACACCGTATACACCGTTTACACCGTAATCAGCATAACCAGCGTAACCAGCGTAACCAGCGTAATCGGCGTAACCAGCGTAACCAGCGTATCCAGCGTAACCAGCGTAACCAGCGTAATCGGCGTAACCGGCGTAATCGGCGTAATCAGCGTAACCAGAGTAATCAGGATAACCAGCGTAATCGGCGTAACCAGCGTAACCAGCGTCATCAGCGCAGCTAGCCACCGCCAGCGTACCAGCATACCAGGGTGCAATCACTCGCGGACACGCTTTGCCACGTCGCTCCACAATCGCACACAACCACTGCACACAACCACAACACTCAAACACAACCACAAAGACACAACCACAAACACACAATATTGCAATATAATTACATCTGTGTGTGTGGCGTTTTGCTTGGCAGCTGGTCACAGGGTAGCACTTTTGGATGGCTTTTTAGTATGGCAGCAAAGCAGTTGATTGAACTGTCATAGTCGGGGTCACTCGAAGTACAGTGGTTGCTTTGCTTGTGCTTCTACTGCTTTTTCCTCATCTGTAAGGTGAGGGTTGTTAGATTTTTGAAGAGGAGCTGGTGGGCTAGTACCACCTCAGCCAAGGGAGACCCTCCCCAAACCAGTACCGAAGGCAAAGACACCCGCGCAAGAGGCCACCCAGGTACTCCAGCAAAGATTAAGGCAGTTGTTCTATACACATATATGCACTTGAATGCCATCTCCTCCCCTCACAACAGCAAACGCCAGATCAAAGTGGGAACTCCTGGACCTCAACAGCAAGCGCCGGATCACAGTGGGCACTACCGGACCTCAACCGCAAGCTCCGAATCACAGTGGGCACTGCCGCACATGAAGCGGAGGAAAAATGTCAGCTCACACGCCAACAAGGACGTCAGAACACAATCCAGAACATATCCCAACCTTTTTACAGATGATGCGTCAGAGCACAAACCAGACTTGATGCCAGAAGAAGTGTCAGAACATTGTATCAATCCGCATGTCCGCCTTTGTTAGGCTAGCCTGTCAATACATGTGTCCTGCTTTCTTCCGGGTGGGGGTCGCTCGAAGTAAAGTAATTTGCTTTTGTTTTTTGCTTCCGGTGTTGGCATTGATTTGTGTTTTTGTGTTTAACTTGGCTCATTTATTTTTGTTGCTTTCTGTTGTTGTTTGGTCTACTGTGTTGCGCTTGTTGCTGTTCGGTCTACTGTGTGGTGACTATATGTATATATATATATATTATATTTACAATGTACATACATATACACACATGCACATAAGACAGAGAGACGTCAATACCCTTTGCGAATATGTATGCCAGGGTTGTTTTGCAGTGTTGGCTGGAAAAGACATTGAAGTACAGCGCTGCTCACGTGTGGTGCTTACAAGACGCATTAATTAAAAACAACAGTTTAGGTGAGAGCGAGGAACCATTTGAAGGTAGCGGACCGTTTAAGCCACCCGAGGGTGAAATTTAGAGGAGGCAGGAACCATTCCAATGTAGCAGCCCTGTGAGCCACACAAGGTAAAACTTAGAGGAGGAAGGGGTCATTCCTACGTAGCGGCCCTTTTTTGTGAGCTATCTGAGGGTAAGGTAGGAGCCTTTCCAAGATAGGAGACCTTTTGTGAGCCACACAATGATGGAGTCGCGCCGTGGACAGCTGGCTCATGCGCGCGCAAGTGAGTTTACTTTGGCATGCGCAAGTGATGATGTGGACATGGCCTCTTCATAATCAAGTAGGCAGGGGCGCACTTGCGCAAGTGAAGTTAGTTTTGCGCGCGCAAGTGAGTTGCGAGCCAACCCCAACAAACACCACCAAAGTTGAAAGAAACACAAAAAATAACACAAACAACCGCACACAGAAACATCCAAACACGCGCCTTTCTCCCAACTCCCTCCAGCACCACGAAATCTGTGTTTTTTACAAGTCGGCCACGCTCCACGCACCGGCCACGAATGCGAAATCTGCACTATGTGTTTCCAATGCAGCCTGCCTGCTACGACACCTGTTTCTCTTGAGTGCTAGTCCTGCTGTCGATTTTGAAAATTCAGCCACTCACTGCCCCTTGTGTCCGCAGTGCAGTTCCTTTTTAAGGGCGGGCACTAGGTTGTTTTAAATAGCTGCGAGTTGTGAGCCCCAAGGATGATTTTGATATAAAAAGCAACAAATTGAAAAAAATAAGTGCGGTAGAGGGGGGCATCTATCCGTGAGGAAGAAGACATGTTTTTGATGGAAAGTCAGTGGTGCATCATGGTGCAAGGCAAATGCATTTACAAGGACTATACAATGATGCTGGGGGAGGACATCTCCAGCGCTGCACTTGCCAAGCGATGCGCCTCCGAGCTAACGCTGCAAAAATCAGAAGAAACCGGCAGCTTGTTTTCGACTGGAATCCGCGCTTTTCAGTAGCAGGGCAAGGATTTCCCAACAGCCTGATATTCAGCAGCCTGTTCCAAGCGGCCCTTCACTTGACGTCATCAGGAAGCCAGCTTGTAATTTGGCAACTCATGCAGGTTCACATTCGTTTGCAGCCCTTCCACTTTGATCCGGGCAGAGTCGCATGTTACAGTGCCTTCGTTGGCTGACGCAGACCTGACAGAACCCACTTTGCACCTACTTGGCATGCGGCATTTGCCAGGCATTTAGCTTCACTGGGGGCCGGACTCAGTGTGGCAGTGACACCTTAATTGCGAAGACGCTCGCTTTGTCTCTGTTGTTTGATATCTCTGCCTGTCCTCCAGAAAGGTCAGTCCAGAGTTTTTTCGTTACAACTTGGCATGTTTCTCTTCGTGCCGCCACCAATACAGCCTGCTCTTCCTGTGAAGCACTTCGCCGGCCTTTGTGGCCTGCGAAGTGCGCGGGTCGTCGGCGTCGCTCGTCGGCGGTCGGGCTTCGGTGGCTTCGGCTCCTGCCTGCGCCGTTCGGACGCGCCAGCGCCGCGGCGGCATGGTTTCGCCACAGGTCGAGTCAACAGGTCGAGTTCCTTTTTTAAGCGCTTGCACGGCGTTCCGACAGGGCATGGGCGATGAGCAATTGAGCACAAATTTTTAACATATATAGCACACTGCGCAATACTGTACTGCGCATAGGTGTTTTTCAGTGCATCTCGCCATGTTTTTGGCCACTTCCTTCACCATAGATGAGAGAGCACATTGTGCCACTGTCACCTGTTGTATGATTAGCGTTTGGAAGAATAGCAAGAAAAATTGGAGAGAGATAGAGAGATTAGGTCATTAGGCTCTGACTTTCTAGAAGCACCTCGCCTCACCTTCGATTGCAGACCTCCAACTTCCTCCGCGTTGGTTTGGGCCTCAGTCAGAAGCTCTAAAGTTTGCTTTGGAAGTCATCAGGAGCGGATGCATGATGCATCCAACCAGCAAGTGGTGGTTTCTGAGAGCAGAATGTCCTTTGACAGTTGGGAGTCGCTGTTTGTTATGTTAGGACTTGGAGGACGTTTTTGTTTCAGAAAACTTGGCGGGCAACTATGTTCTTTAGATTTTTTTAGATGTGTTCCTCAGTAGCAGTGCATGGCCAAATATGGCTAAACATGTTTCAATTGGTGTTTGTTGGGTTATGGTCCTGGTCGTCGAAGCATGGTCGTCGTCAAGTTGGGTTTGTTTTCAACCAGTTGATAAGGAAGATATACCGCCCCAGAAAGACCCCGGGTCAATCAGCTGCAATCGGTAGTCATATGCGTCGTCTCACAGTCGTCTCAGGTCCAAATTCGGGGAACGACGGGACTGGGCGCCACTTCCCACGCTATGGCCTCGACCCCAGTAGCGATGGCCTCCACCCTCGTAGCTTTGAAATGCTGAGAATCCGCCTCCGCTCCGCTTCCGGTCGTAGAAAATACAGGCTCCAACTCCGACTTGACCAGCGCACCAAGTGTTTGCGACGACAAATGCTAGCCTTTTGATGCCTTTTGAAAGAAGGGTATTTATGAATCCATTTCGTATCCATTCAGTGTTCATTTGGTCCAAAAGAGCTGTTGGAAACTGGTTGTTCGTCTTCGTCAAGACGGCCCTGTCTTCGTCAAGGCTTCCCCAAAGTGGGAAGACCCATGGGAAAGCTCCTCGAAGTGGATGTTGTTTCGGGAGCCCTGTGTTGTGTGTGTGCTTCAACCTATCCCATTCTGCGAACGAGGTGCTGGAGTTGTTGGGGTTTCTGTTCACTCCCTGCCCATAAGAAGATCCACCGCAAAAAAGAAAGGGCTCCCTTTTTTTTGACCCGCGCACCCTTTTTTCTGACCCCCCCTTTTTTTCTGACCCACAACCCTTCTTTTCTGACCCACAAACCTTCTTTTCTGACCCCCGCAATCCTTCTTTTCTAACCCACAACCCTTCTTTTCTGACCCACAACCCTTCTTTTCTGACCCACAACCCTTTTTTTCTGACCCACAACCCTTCTTTTCTGACCCACAGGCCTTCTTTTCTGACCCCCAACCCTTCTTTTTTGACTCCCCAGCATTCCGTGACCAATCCTTTTTTTCTGACCCACGGTCCTTTTTTTTTGACCCCCGCAATCCGTTCTTTCTGACCCGCGGTCTTTTTCTTTTGACCCCCGCAATCCTTCCGTTTGGACCCACGAACCTTTCTTTCTGACCACCAAGCCTTTTTTTCCAACCCACGGCGCTGTTGTCTTTGACCCCGCAAAACTGTTGGACCTGCAGCCCGTGTTGCGTGACCTCGTACACCCCGGGCACGCTCTACCGAGAGGAAGCAAATTCTTTCTCCTTCTGCATCCCTCTCTTCTTCATCTGAATGACGGTGCTGTCCGTGTGACACAATACTTTCACAATCCCTTTTTTTCCGACCCCCGCGCTCTTCTTTTCTGACCCACAACACGTCTTTTCTGACCCACAATCCTTCTTTTCTGACCCACAAACCTTCTTTTCTGACCCCCGCAACCCTTCTTTTCTGACCCCCGCGCCCTTCTTTTCTGACCCACAAACCTTCTTTTCTGACCCCCGCAACCCTTCTTTTCTGACCCCCGCGCCCTTCTTTTCTGACCCCCGCGCCCTTCTTTTCTGACCCACAACACGTCTTTTCTGACCCGCAATCCTTCTTTTCTGACCCACAAACATTTTTTCTGACCCCCGCAACCCTTCTTTTCTGACCTACAACCCTTCTTTTCTGACCCACAACCCGTCTTTTCTGACCCACAAACCTTCTTTTCTGACCCCCGCAATCCTTCTTTTCTAACCCACAACTCTTCTTTTCTTCACAGCCCGTGTTGCGTGACCTCATACACCCCGGGCACGCTCTACCGAGAGGAAACAAATTCTTTCTCCTTCTGCGTCCCTCTCTTCTTCATCTGAATGACGGTGCTGTCCGTGTGACACAATACTTTCACAATCCCTTTTTTTCTGACCCCCGCGCTCTTCTTTTCTGACCCACAACACGTCTTTTCTGACCCACAATCCTTCTTTTCTGACCCACAAACCGTTTTTTCTGACCCCCGCAACCTTTCTTTTCTGACCCACAACCCTTCTTTTCTGACCCACAAACCTTCTTTTC